GGGACCACGGACTGGAAGGGACAGGCTGACAGATGTCCCCAAGGTCGGCGCCCGGTTGGCTGGTGGCAGAGCCGGGAGCTTTGGCTGTCTTCCTGTGCCATCTCTGGGAAGTGGAGCTGTCTTTTGGACTTTGCTGGAGAGAGGGGGCCATGCGGGCTGTGGGTCACTCAGACCAGGCCGTGGATACTGGGGGGACAGTGCAGGAAAGAACCTTGGGCTGGGTCCCCCCCGGCTTGCCTGTGGCCAGGGCAGATGGCTCTGCTTCTTCTATAAAGCAAAGTGGGGGCATCTGCCAGATGGTGTCTGTTCAGGGACCTGAGCCATCTCTAGGCACCCCAGCCTGCTTCCGTGGTGTACCTGGGGCCTGCCCCAGCCAGAGAGACTCAGCACTGAGAGTCCTATGGGGTTGGTCTGGGTCCCTGTAGACCTGTCCCTCCGGTGTCACAGCAGACGCATTCACTTCCTGGCCCCGGGTCCAGCTGGCGGGCAGTACCCGCCCTTGGGCACACCCAGGCCTCAGCGGGGGGATGTCTTTGGTCCCAGTTGTGCAAGATGACAAATATGGGGACTCAAATAATTTAAGAAGCTCCTCTACCTCCTATGCCCCCAAGTTGGAAAAAAAATGTCCTTTCCCACATTTGGTCTTGCTTTGGTCCTCTCCTTTCTCTTACGGGAAGGAGTGAGTGTATCTGATGTGTATATTGCACTTGGTAGCTTACAAAATATTTTCACCGCCCCTTCTTGTTCACTGGGTCCCGGGAAGGGCCTGAGTGTCCCCATTCTAGCGATGAGAAAACTGAGGCTCAGAGAGGGTGAGTGACTCGCCATGGACACGGTGTCGGCAGGTCACGAGCCCAAACCTGGTGGCACCAAGGAGCAGGAGAGCAGTCACGGCCACAGTAGTAGCCTGGAGCGGGGCCCGCTCACGCCTTCCTGTGCCTGGGGAGACAAGCCGAGGTGGCTGTTGCAGCTTTGTTTTTGCTCTTCGGTCCAGCTGTTCTAGATTTCTCTCCATTTCTCCACCCGAATGCTCTCTCCTACCCCGGGGCTTTGCACACCCTGTTCCCTCTGCCTGGAAGGCTCTGTTCTCTTAGCAAACTTGCCCTCGACCTTCAGGTCTCAGCTCATTCGTTCACTGATTCATCCCACGGACGCCCACGATGCTCACACATGGCGTACACTGTGCCAGGTGGCGGGAATCCAGCGTACGCACGACAGATCCCCATGTGGCCAAGGGCAAGCAAGGAACAAGGGCAAGTAAGGAATAAAGCACAGCTTGTAGGGGAGGGGCCTACTCTGGGAGCGGGGAAGAATGAGGAGGGCATTGCAAAGGAAGGCCACTCAGGGGGCACAGCAGGTGCAAAGGCCCTGAGGCAGGAGACAACCTGGCTGTGGAGGAACAGGCGGGTGATCTGTGTGGCCTGCCGGAGGAGGCAGGAGGCGGAGGGGGCAGAGTGAGGTGCAGTGGGGAGGGTGGCACGGGAGTTGGGGAGGGAGAGGCAGGGCTGTCGTGTGGGCCACGATAAGGACTCAGAGTTTGAACTGAGCTTTAAACCGAGAGACAGCTTCTGACTTATCTTCCTGAGATCCCTCGGCTGCTGTGTGAGGAGCAGGCGATAGGGTGGACGCGGGGAGTCGGCTGGGAGTTGGGGGCTTCTGGAAGGATCTAGAGAGCGATGACAGCAAAGTCTGGGGCTGTTCGCTGAGATGGGGGAGGAACGGAGGGGTGAAATAAACATGTTTTGGGGGGACGGAGTCAAGTTCAGTTTGGCACTTGTGGAATTTGGGGATGAGAGCAGGGACTAGGCAGGGAGATGAGGGGCCGGAAGTGCAGCCTCGGGATCATTAGCGTAAAGAGGGTTGTGAACGCCTGGAATTGATGTGAAGACGTAGCGGGAGGGTGTAGATTGAGGACGAGGGGAGGCAGCTGGAGAGTGGGAAGGAGGGCCTGTGAGGCGGGTGGGCCCAGGGGAGGGGCGTCCTGAGGGAGAAGAGGGCTGGGGGTCCAGAGTGCACAGGGGAGGACAGGAGGGGCCCCTGTGTCGGACCACGAGGCCCGGGTGGTGTCTCAGCCAGGCGGGTGTGGGCTAGGGGAGCATGGGAGGGAGGACGTGGAGATGGCGAGTGTAGACAGAGGAGGCCGGGGGCAGAGAAGTGAGGCCGAAGCTGGCATGCAGGGTCGAGGGAGGGTTTTGTTTTAAAAGATGGGGCCATGAGAGGGTGTTTGAGGGCAGACAGGACAGGGAGGGGGAGCCGCAGGAGCGAGTTCTCTGGAAGGTGAGCCATCGCTTCCGCTGGGGGGAAGGACCTTGGTGCCTGGTGACCTGAGGGAGGGAGGACCAGGTGTGGGCAGGTGGCGGGCCTCCTGGCTTGGTGGGAGGAGGAGGCAGCGTCGATGGCTGGAGGACAAGTCGATGGCTGGAGAACAAGTTGGGGAGGCTTGGGAGAGGGGAGAAGGGGGGGGACCCACCTCCAAAGGCTGCTGAGGGGAGATCCAGAATTCAGAGGGAGCCATCCGCTTGGCGATGGGATTTTCTCTAGTGATTTGCAGCACCTGGGGCAGACCAGAGAAGTTGGAGGGACCTCCCCCAGGAAGCTGTCCAGGCCTCCCCTTGCCCCCCATCCCCAGGCTGGGTGCACGTGCATGCTCGATGAATATTTATTAGCTGCCTGATCTGCATGCAAATTGCAGAGCCTGGCTGCAGCGGGCCTCCCCTCCACGGTCTGCTCTTTGCTCTGGGGTACCTTTGCCCTGTCCCCAGCTAAGCCTGTTCCCCTTCTCATTTAACGCGGGAGGGAGTTTCGCATAGCCCCATTTAGCAGAAGAGGACAACTGAGGCTCGCACAAGCACTTCAGTTCCTTCCGGATACCAGCCCCCCCCCCCCCCCCGACATTCCCCCAACACACAAAGAAAGGAGCATTTAAGTGGGAGCCCCCGGCCGGTTTCTCAGATGGTGCGTGAGGTCATGTGCCAGTGGGGAGGGACCCCCTTGAGAAGGGGGGCAGGGAAATGGGCTGTGAGCATCGAGGGATGCTGGTGACAGAAGGGACCATCCACGCTGGGGACCATCCACGATAGGATACCCTCAGCCTCTTAGAAGGAAAATGGCATTGCTCAGGCTTGGGGGATCTTAGTCTCTATCTGGTGAGAGCATTTCTGATCTGATTATGGTGGCCCCTGGGATGAGGTCTGTCCTTAACAGGCCTTGGTGGCCCCGCAGTCGGCCTGCCTCCTCTCAGCATCATTTCCCCCTGTGCCTGCCCCCATTCCCCACTCCACACTCTGGATTTCACTCACCCAGGACCTCGAACATGCTGTTCCAGCTGGTGGAACACCCTTCCCTGCCCTGGTCACCTCTGACTCCTCTTCTGAGTCTCACTTAAGCCCCCGTGGGCTGTGGGTCCCAGCACCTCCTCTCCCAGCCCCCTGAACGTCCCCTCTCCGTGCTTCTTGGGGTTTGGGTTACTTACTCCATTGGGTAGAGCCTGGTCAACCTCTGTCTCCCCTGCTGGATTGTAGGGTCTCGAGGGCCAGGACCCACTTGTTGGGGCTTGTGTCCCCAGCACTGAAGGCAGGACCTGCATGTCTGTCATAGGTGTTTGTGGAAGGAGGTGGGAAGTGTCTGCCGGAAGGCGTGGCTCTGGCTTGAGCTGCGGGTGAAGCAGATTCGGGGTGCTGTGGGCTTTTATAATAACCCCCCATAGTGCTGAGCCGGACTGTGGGCTGGGCCCTTTCCGTGCTCCTCATGCATCCGTGAGGACCAGAGGCTTGGACTTTGTCGAGGCGAAGGGCACACACGGGGACCTACCTATCTCTTGAATACCTGCCCCTCACAGCCCTTTCCACTGAAGGCTCCAGAAGGCAAACCCCTCCTCTCCCCCCACCTCCTCTAATTGCCCTCCCACCTCTGCACATTTTCTGATGCATTTTGAGCTCCTTGATTGTGGCATTTGGTGTTTGTTGCCCCCACCCCGGGGTCAGCGTGGGCTGCTCCGTCTGGGCAGCGTGTGGTCAGTGGAGGGGAGCAAGGCTGAGCCGAGCCTGGCTGCCCAGGTGGCCTCAGGCCGGCAGGGGGAGCCCGCGAGCTGCGAGCCGGACCGCCACTCGGACGAGAAGCCTCCAGTGGGGGCTCAGTGCTCTGCCTGGTGTTGCCCACAGGGAGGGCCAGGCCCGGCCGGCTGGAGCAGGGGCGCCAGCCCAGTGAGCGGATGGGCACGCTGCACTCACCAGCTGCGTGACCACGTGTGGCCTCCTAACCTCCCTGAACCCCTGTTTGCTCATCTGGGAAGTCGGGACAGTTCCAGCTGCTCCCTTGGTTCACGCTGGAGAGGCCCCCGCAGGGCATCTGTCCATGGGGAGCCCTCTGCCAGTGCTGGGGGGCACGTCGTGAACAGGCACCAGCTCTGCTTGGCTCTGTGGCTCTTTGAGGATAGTTGTCCTGGCTCCCTGTGTCCTGCCGCCTACAAATAATGACAATGATGATGTAACTGACTGATGATGTAACTTATTGATAATGTAACTGATTGATGATGTAACAGATTGATAATGTCACTGATTCAGTGCCACCAACCTGCGTGGCCTTAGCATGCGTGAGTAAGCTTGAAATTATTCTGCCAGGGCCGTCATTCTATAAACGAAGAAATTAGGGACCCAGAGGTGTGGACGCAGCAGCTGGGAAGTAGCAGAGTTGAATTCTGAACTCACGTCTGTGGTGCCTGAGAGATGCCCTCCGCCTCCCTGGGCCTCAGTTTCCCCTCCTGAACAAAAAGTGTGGGGCACGACATTCTGGGGGCCTCCAGGCTCTGACAGAGGTGGCGTGGCCCTCCCTCCCCGTGTGCCTGTGGGAAGGATGGACGTGTGTAGGGCTGGTTTGCATCCTTGGACGAGGCCAGAGTCCCCGTGAGGCGGGGAGCGCTTTGCGGGTAGGGGAGCCTCGCGGACTGCTCCTCTCCCTGCCCCCCTGACTCTCCGTCCTGCCTGCCCCACCCCTCCCTGCAGCCTTTCTGAAGGGCCTGAGTGAGAAGCAGCGGGAGGAACACTACTTCTGCCGAGACTTCATCCGGCTGAAGAAGATCCCCACCTGGAAGGAGACTGCGAAAGGTAGGCCCTGCTCGGGGAGGCCCAGCCGGCTGTTTGGCACTTTGACCCGTGTCTCGGGAGAGTCGTAGGGACGAGGTCAAGAGGAAGAATCTCAGGAGCATTGTTGAGTGCTCGCTCTGTGCGGGCACGTGGCACGGGGCACCTGTCTTAGTTATTAACACGGCCTGGGGCGGGTTCGATTTTTATCCGCGTTATACTTTTGGGAAACTGAGCCCTGGATCCATGATCGCACGGTCGTCAGAGCTGGGGTTTGAAGCTGTGGGGCGTGCTGGTAAGCACCCTGAAAATCGCAGTCCTGGTAACCAGTAACGGGCAAGTCACTTAACCCGCCTGGGCCTCGGTTTCCACGTTTGTCAAATGGGGATGGATGACGTAACGTTGTTGTGAAGAGTAGAGGAGACCCAGTGTGTGCTGCACGCAGTACGCACCTGATCAGTGTGGGCTGTCCCCACCAGTGTCACCGGGCACCACGCGGCTGGCCGCCTCTGGAGGTGGAGGCATTGATGGAGGCGCGCCTGGCTGTGGGCACTGGTGGGTCACTGCAGTGGGGGCCTCTCCGTGACTCCCCACCTCTGCTTGTTCCAGGGGCCACGAAGGTGGAAGACCCCAAGTACAAGAAGGACAAGCAACTCAACGAGAAGATCTCCCTGTTCCGAGGCGACATCACCAAGCTGGAGGTGGACGCCATCGTCAACGCCGGTGAGTGGGGGCTTCTGGCCGTTTGAGCCAGAGCCCGGGTGGCCCCTCGTCGCCTTTGCTCTGGTCTGCCATTCCAGGCACGGGTGGACGGCCTCTGGCTCCAGCGAGGCTTGAGTGCCGGACGAGGCTGGCCTGCTGGTGCCGCGGGAGCCCAGCGTGTCGGCCGCTCAGACTCCTCTCCCCTTGAAATCCCAACCCACTGTGTCGGGGGCACCTTGCCCGAGCGGCTCTGAGATCCATTAGCGGCTGGGAAGGGAGAGAGCTCGGCTGGAATTGCGCTAGGCTGCCCTGCCAGGAAGGCGGAGGCCAGAACGGGGTGGTCCGACCTCGGGGGCTGCCAATGGCCCTGACCACGGCCTTCCTGCGGACCTGGGGTGGGCGAGGGAGCTTGTGGGGGACAGGCGGGGACAGAGGCCCTGTGCCCCGCGCTCAGCTTCCTACGGCAGCTCTGCTGGCTTGGTGGTTTATTGTGAAGAGTCAAGGAGCCCGCTGCTTCTCCCCGCTCTTGGGGGAGGAGGAAGGTGGCTGCCCTCCTCCCCGGCGGTGGTTGTCTGGCCGAGGTCAGGAGTGGGGTGTCAGGGGCGGGTGCACAGGTGGCTCATGGGTCAAGGGCGAGTGGGGGCCGAATCCCTCACTGTGGTTGCCGAGCATCTCAAGAAGGAGCTGCTTCTTCTTCGAGAAAGGTCTGGAGACCTGGGCGCCAACTGACAGGGAAGCCCCCCGCTGTGTGTCTCAGGCTCCCCAGGAGCGTCTTAGGTCTCCTTCGTCTCACCCTTGGGCTTGCAGCCGTTGTGTCTGACCCCAGTCCTGGCCAGGAGTGGAGTGGCCGAGTGACTCTGGGACACGGTGGTGTCAGTGCTGAGTGACCGGGCGCATGGGACCCGAGAGTGGTGGCTGCTCGGCCGCTCCGGGCCCACTTGTTTGTGCTCTGGGTTGCATATCTGGCCGTGGCCTTGCTCTGTGCATCTCCCGCCGATGTTTGCAGAGCTGTGCAGTGGCACGGGTGTCCCCTCCCCCACATCGCCCATCTGAGCACACAGGTGACCAGTCACGCAAAGACTTGGAGCAGAGGGAGCGCGAGTCACCTTTGGGTTTCTGCTGTGTTTCCCTTGGGCCATTGGGACGCTGGGAGGCAGCGAGGTCTGCGAGTCCATCTGGGGAGACACGGGGCTAAGTCCAGCTGAGCTGGGTGGCAGATGTCTTAGCGGCCCGGGGGAGAAGGGCCTTCTTGCTGCCTAGACCCAGGAGGGGCTGGCTGGGGTGTAAGGACAGAGCCTTGGGCCTTGGCTGAGGGGACAGTCTGACAGGCCAGTGGGGCTGCCCTGCCCAGTGCCCCTGGCTCTGTCCATCCCTGGCAAGGGTGTGGGAGGTGCCCTGCTGGCACTTTCCTTGCTGAGCTGCGAAGTGGCCAGAAGGAAAAGTGGGGCATCTTCTCAGCTCCTTCCCGGCTGGGTTGGCGGCTGGCTGGCCAGGAGGGAGCGCGTGGGCCCGAGGCGGGGCGTCGGCGGGCTGCAGATGGAGCGAGGTGGCGGCTCTGGAGGCGCACGCGGGGCTGCTGGCTGATTAATGGCTCTCGCTAAGTGCCCTGTGCCTGGCCGGACCCCGAGCGCGGCGGCTCGGTCAGCCTCTCATGCGCTCAGGAGAGCACTTCGGTCCTGGCTCCATTTCGCTGCGCCGGGGCCGGGGGTGGCGGCATTTGCGGTGTCTCTCCAGGGACTCCCCTTCCCCGTGTACCTGCCTGGGTTTCTATTTCCTCCTCACACAGTAGAGATGGTAGAAAACCCACCCACCAGGTTGTCGCGATGCTCGAGAACCGTGACGCTCATGCAGCACCTGGCAGAACTGAGTGCTCAGCACCTGCCATGGTTGTCGGTGCTGGAATCGATGCCACCGTCGTCACTCGGGGCGTCAACCTTGTCCCAGAATGCCACGGGATGCTGGGCACCTCCCACAGATGACCAGCTTTCGCCTCCCCCTGCTTGCCTCAGTTTACCTAACACCTCTTGGCGTGTTTTCCTGGGATCTCCTTTTTTTCTAGAAAGAGTCTCACATCAGAAAGGACCCAGAATCCACCTGGAACCCAGGGAGTGCCTGAGGCAGTCCTGGACACCGGCTCCCACACGGAGCCTGCGTCCCCTCTGGGCCCTCTTTGCAGGTGTTTGCCCGGCCCCAGTGTCTGGTGGCCTTGGCACTGGTCTGACCTGGGGAGTCCTGGGTGATCTTGGCACGGGCTGACACCCGAGGGTCCTCTGGCCTCATCCCCGGGAGTCCCCACTGCCCTGGCGCCACGGGGCCTGCCGCCCACCAGGGGGCAGCAGAGCTCTCGGTTCCCGCCCAGTGGAGCCCATAAATCAGCCTGTTTATCAGCCGAATAAAAGTCGCGGCAACGCGGGCCTTTTTGGGGCTGCATAAATCTGGTCCGCGCCTCGTGAAACCCATATGCGCTTAATTCATATGTAAAATTTCAAGCAGGAAGAGAATACGTGTCCATTAAATTCTATTTGACTTGATTATAATCATTAGCCGTGAATAATTGCTTCTCGCCACCGCGGCCGCCACAATGGGGAAAAGGGGCCGCAATTATCTCCTGGTGGGAATTTTTAAATTTTTATTTTTGAAGCCAGGGGCAGTGTTGGCCCCGCGGGGGTCGGTGGGTAGGCCTGGCTGAGAGCTTCTGGATTTGGGGGGGGTCTCCTTTTGTCCCTGTGGCCAGATGGGGAGGGGCGGGGAAGGTGTCAGTGCTGCCTCAGCCTGACTCCAGCTGCAGGGACCGTGGCAGGGGGCGTGCAGGGGAGCTGGAAGGGCCTGTGAGAGGAAGGGGGGTCGGGGCCCCCAGAACCCCCTCCATCCCGAAGAACCTTAGTCTTGGGCCCTGCCGCAGGCATCCTTCCGGCCCCTGGGGAGGACCCTGGGGATCCTTGGAGAGGGCGGGGGCCAGGTGCCCTCCCTGCCTGCCCACCTGGCTCCTTCCTCCCCACAGAGGGACTCCGCCCACCGCCTCCCCCCGGACTTTGGAAAATCAGACTGTTTCCCAGCTGGTCTCCTGGCATTTGAAGTCCAGGACTATTTTTTACCCCACTTTGTTGGTATTTGAGATGTGATTGGTGTGTGTGTGGTGTGTGTGTATGATGGTGGATGTGTGTGTGTGTCATATGATGTGTGTTATATGGTATATGGAGGGGGCTGCCTGGCCGGTGGGTGGTGGCGCTTGAGGTCACAGGGGACAGGACCAAACCTCCCACCCCGTCCCCAGACGCAGCATAGGCCTCCCTGGGCCCCCCTTAGCCCTGCCGGGTGAGGCTGCTTGCTCGGGCAGCGCCCCGACCTTCCCGGCTCCCGCTATCTGTGCTGGCCACGGCTCCTGCCCACGGGGGCACGCCACATCCATCCTAATTAAATTGGGCTGCCACGCTGGCCCCATAAGCCAGGGAGCCCCTGTAGGCCCCATTCCGGCGCAGAAGATTCTCGGGGGCACTGCCTGCCTCTCCAGCTTGGCCTGCGACCCCCCAGCTGGGTCTGGGGGGCGCTGTGCCTGGTGTCTCCCCCAGAGAAAGCTAGGGTCTGGGGGTTTCCACCGGGGGTGCTCCAGCTTCCAGAGTGTTTACATCTTCTCTGTGCCCCGGGGTGACCTTGACTGGGTCACTTCCATGCCCTTGAGGTTCCCAGCTCACCAGGCCTGCGCCTGTGGGCCCCTCATTCCTGACAGACGGCAGAGTCCCAGGCAGGAAATGTCCCAGCACAAAGACCCCCATTCTCGGCCAGCCCCGGGGTCCGGCCACTGGCTTTGGCCTTCAGGACATAACCGGACAGCGCAGGGATGAATGTGACGCTTTGTGCGAAGACGGAAGGAATCTTCCACTTCACAGCCGTCCCAGGCCAGCAAGTGGGCACCGTGGGCACGGAAGCTGGGAGCCAGTCGATCCCAGCCTTCCTGCTGGCAGGGCTGCCGTCTCCGGGCCTCTGTTGCCTCATCTGAGAAATGGATCATCATCCTCCCCACACCAGGTGGGTAAGGATGATCTGCGTTCAGGCCCGGGCCTGGCCCAGAGCGAGGCCCCCAGTAAATTGTTACTGGGAAGCCCAGAGCGAGAGCCACTAAGTAGAATATAATGTGACAAAGCCCTGGAAGTGGGTACTGAACAAAGTGCCACGCGACGCCGCAGGGACCAATTAATTCTGCGAGAGGTGGCGGGAGGCGAGGCGGGTCGGGGGGCCTTTGAGGGGCCCGGGCACGCGGGCCGCACAGAGCGGGCGGGAAGCTGTGTTTCACGGCGACAAGCGGCCTCGCTGGGAGTTTTTTGAGCCGCTTATTTATTTAAAGGAAGGCACGAAGTGGCGCTCTGTTTCCTTAAGTCTCGGGCTTTGATTTGTGAAAATCTGCCAGCCGCTTGGGGCCCTCCCCCCCAAGTCCTTGCCTCACCCCTTCTGCTGCCTGGAGGGCCCCAGGGGCCCGGCCCCCTTGCTGCCCGTGGGCCACCGCTGGAGTCAGTGATTTAGAGACCGCCTTGATGGACTCGCAGGCAGGGGGGCCGAGGGATGCCGGCTGCCTTGTGGGAAGTGATCTGACGCTAAACTGTCGCCGTAAATCGCTTTATCTGTCACTTCCGATTTAAATGTGTTTGCTGAAGCCTGCCGGCCACCGACAGCAGCGGCCCCTCCGAGGCGGGCAGGGGGTGCGGCACGGGTGGAAGGGCACCTGTGAGCAGCGGAGGTCCCCCCTGGGCCCTGGCCACCGGGGAGCACGGGCGAGACCAGCCGGTTCCTCGGTGCTGACTACTTGGCATCCCCTCGAGGCAGGCAGGACTTGACTCTGATCCCCGTTTTCCGTGGTCAAACCAAGGCTCAGAGGAAGAGGTGATGACGTGCCCCAGCTCTGCAGTTGACCGAGTCGGAATTCGAACTCGGTGCGTGGCCTTTGTTCATTCAAGAGAGGTACTCGGCGGGCCTGTTGTGCACCAGACATTGGGGTAGCCCTGGGCTGCAAAAGACACAATCTCCAA